CTCCCTTCCTTGTCTCTCGCTTTTCCCTCTATAATTAAAACAAATAGGTGCCCTCTCCTCTTCAGGAAGCCCCCTTGCCCTTATTTTGCTAGCTTTCTGAAACGACAAGGAAAACAACACATAGAAAGAGAGGAAAGGGAATGAAACAATAGGCAGTGGAGCTCTTCAGTGTCTTTACCTATCTCTTTTCTTCTTTTTCTTCTTCATTCAATAAGGAAAAGAAGCTTCCTTTGGTGTGATTTTGAGATTCAAAAGAGAACAAGAGAAGAGAAGGGAGAGAGAAAGGAGAGAGGAGAGATCAAAAGGAAGCAATTTTCATGGGAAGAGCAATGAAAATCATGGAAGAGAAATGAAGACAGGAGAGGGAGGTGCAAAATCAGGCAAAGAGAAGATGGTGCTCGTTTTCTTCTTTCCTCTCTTTCTTATCTTTCCCTTTCAAATAAAAACAAAAGGAAGAACAATGAACATGTAAAGGAACCCGTTTTCTTTTTCCGTTTGGGAACAAGGAAAAGAACAGAGGCGATAGGGCGAGAGGAGGGATTTGCTGCAGCATGGGGAGGGTCTACGGACAAGGAGCCAACCCCGCTCGCTTTCCCCATCCATTGGAAAAGAAAGGAACATGGCCTCCATTCCCCTCTTGTTCTTCCTTTCTTGCGCTTTTGTCATTTAAAGGGGAACAGGAGAAGAGAAGGGAGAGAGAAGGAGAGAGGAGAGACAAAAGGATTGCATTGTTAATGGGAAGAGCAAAGACAAGAATAGAAGAGAGATGAATAGAGAAGTGGGAGAGACAAAACAAGGCGCAGAGAAGATGGCACTCTTCTTTATCTATCCTCTCTCCCTTCTCTCTCCCTTCCCTCTTTCTTTTCGAAATAAGAAAACAAAAAGGAAGAACTATGAGAAGGAGAAGGGTAAGGAAAGGAACAGAAGAGATAGGCCGAGAGGAGGGGTATGATGAAGTATGGACCGGTCCACGCGCCAGGAGTCACCCTCTGCTTACCCTTCCACTGCCTTATCACACAAGTTCCTTTCTTGTGGTTTATCAGTCAAAAGGAAACAGAAGGAGAGAAGGAAAAGAGAAGTGAGACGAGATAACAAGGATGCCATTTTGCTGGAAGCGCAACTGTATGTGGCCACAACAAGCAGGCCAGGGAGGCTCAGGCGGGGCAAGTCTCTCCCTAATTAGAAAAAATCAATCTTGCTATTCACAGGTAGGCGCCCTTCCTCTTCAGGAAATCGCCTTTCCCTTATTTTGCTTTTTGAAGCGAATAAGACAAACAACAGATAAGAAGAGAGGACAGGGAATGACTAGGTAAAGAGAGGAGCTCTTCAATTTCCTCCCTATCTCTTAAGTTACTTTTCCTTCTTGGGCGGGTGTCCTTTTTTCTTCCTTGAAGATGCAGAAAACTAGCAAAAAGGACACCCGATCGCCCATTTTCTTTTCAATTCCCTTCCTTATCTCCTATGCTCTTTTCCTTATTCATTGCAACAGGAGAATACAGGAAAAGGGCCTCCATTCCCCTCTTCTTCCTTTCTTGTGTTTTTGTCATTTAAAGGGGAACAGGAGAAGACAAGGGAAAGAGAAGGAGAGAGCAGAGATAAAAGGAACACAATTCTAATGGGAAGAGCCAAGAAAAGAATAGAAGAGAGATGAACAAAGAAGATGGGGAGACAAAACAAGGCGCAAAGAAGATGGCACTCTTCTTTATCTATCCTCTCGCCCTTCTCTCTCCCTTCCCTCTTTCTTTTCGAAACAGAAAAACTAAAAAGAAAGAACTTGAAAAGGAGAAGGGTAAGGAAAAGAGCAGAAGAGACAGGCCGAAAAAAGGAATATGATGAACTGAAAAGAAGAGAAGACACAAGAAACAAGGAGACGGATAGCACTCTTCTTTATCTATCATCTCTCCCTTCCTTGTCTCTCGCTTTCCCCTCTACAATTAAAAAAAAAGGTGCCCTCTCTCCTCTTCAGGAAGCCCCCTTGCCCTTATTTTGCTAGCTTTCTGAAACGACAAGGAAACAACACATAGAAAGAGAGGAAAGGGAATGAAACAATAGGCAGTGGAGCTCTTCCGTGTCTTTACCTATCTCTTTTCTTGTTTTTCTTTTTCATTCAATAAGGAAAAGAAGCTTCCTTTGGTGTGATTTTGAGATTCAAAAGAGAACAAGAGAAGAGAAGGGAGAGAGAAAGGAGAGAGGAGAGATCAAAAGGAAGCAATTTTCATGGGAAAAGCAATGAAAATCATGGAGGAGAAATGAAGACAGGAGACCGGGATCCCCTTGGCACCCTGCAAAAGTCCTGCAAATACCACACAAAACGGAAAAGGGTAGGAACAACATTTGCGGGTCAAAATTTGCCGGGATCCCCTTGGCACCCTGCAAAAGTCCTGCAAATACCACACAAAACGGAAAAGGGTAGGAACAACATTTGCGGGTCAAAATTTGCCGGGATCCCCTTGGCACCCTGCAAAAGTCCTGCAAATGCCACACAAAACGGAAAAGGGTAGGAACAACATTTGCGGGTCAAAATTTGCCGGGATCCCCTTGGCACCCTGCAAAAGTCCTGCAAATGCCACACAAACCGGAAAAGGGTAGGAACAACATTTGCGGGTCAAAATTTGCCGGGATCCCCTTGGCACCCTGCAAAAGTCCTGCAAATACCACACCAAAACGGAAAAGGGTAGGAACAACATTTGCGGGTCAAAATTTGCCGGGATCCCCTTGGCACCCTGCAAAAGTCCTGCAAATACCACACAAAACGGAAAAGGGTAGGAACAACATTTGCGGGTCAAAATTTGCCGGGATCCCCTTGGCACCCTGCAAAAGTCCTGCAAATACCACACAAAACGGAAAAGGGTAGGAACAACATTTGCGGGTCAAAATTTGCCGGGATCACCTTGGCACCCTGCAAAAGTCCTGCAAATGCCACACAAAACGGAAAAGGGTAGGAACAACATTTGCGGGTCAAAAATTGCCGGGATCCCCTTGGCACCCTGCAAAAGTCCTGCAAATGCCACACAAAACGGAAAAGGGTAGGAACAACATTTGCGGGTCAAAATTTGCCGGGATCCCCTTGGCACCCTGCAAAAGTCCTGCAAATGCCACACAAATCGGAAAAGGGTAGGAACAACATTTGCGGGTCAAAATTTGCCGGGATTCCCTTGGCACCCTGCAAAAGTCCTGCAAATACCACACAAAACGAAAAAGGGTAGGAACAACATTTGCGGGTCAAAATTTGCCGGGATCCCCTTGGCACCCTGCAAAAGTCCTGCAAATGCCACACAAAACGGAAAAGGGTAGGAACAACATTTGCGGGTCAAAATTTGCCGGGATCCCCTTGGCACCCTGCGAAAGCCCTGCAAATGCCACACAAATCGGAATAGTGTAGGAACAACATTTGCGGGTCAAAATTTGCCGGGATTCCCTTGGCACCCTGCAGAAGTCCTGCAAATACCACACAAAACGGAAAAGGGTAGGAACAACATTTGCGGGTCAAAATTTGCCGGGATCCCCTTGGCACCCTGCAAAAGTCCTGCAAATACCACACACAACGGAAAAGGGTAGGAACAACATTTGCGGGTCAAAATTTGCCGGGATCCCCTTGGCACCCTGCAAAAGTCCTGCAAATACCACACACAACGGAAAAGGGTAGGAACAACATTTGCGGGTCGGGGTTGGGGGGTCAGGAATTAAATAACTTAAATAATTTAAATACCCCAGGGGGGGCGTCCGGGCATTTAAATTATTTAATTCCCCGGCTCGTACTTTAGTATTGGGGGGAGGCCCGTGCTCGTAATTCAGTATTGGGGGGAGGCCCGGGCTCGTAATTTAGTGTTGAGGGGGAGGCCCGGGCTCGTGATTTAGTATCGGGGAATGAAAAATTGATTTCATTTCAATGTCCAGGGGCCCGATTTGGCCAAATTTTGCCGGGCAGCCTCCGGGCAAAATTTGGCCAAATCGAGCCGCGCATTTCTCATGGCATACGAAGGGCAGCCCGATTTGGCCAAATTTAGCCCGGAGGCTGCCCGGCAAAATTTGGCCAAATCGAGCCGCGATAGTTTAAAATAATCTCGGGCCTTCAGAAAGGCGCGGCTCGATTTGGCCAAATTTTGACCGGAGGCTGCCCGGCAAAATTTGGCCAAATCGGGCCCCTGGACATTGACATGAAATCAATCTTTCAATTCCCCGATACTAAATCGGGGGGGGGCAGGCCCGACCAGGCCCCCCCCCCCGGAATTAAATAATTTATATAATTTCAATCCGAAAGGGGTGTTCAGGATTTAAATTATTTAAATTATTTAATTCTGGGAGAGGGAGGGGGCCCGGTGGGCCGGGCCCGATTTAAATAATTTAAATATGAAGCTCCCGAATTAAATATTCATATTTAAATCGTGGCCTTCATATTTAAATTATTTAAATCGGGCCCGGGAATTAAATAATTTAAATAATTTAAATAATGTAAATCCTGGAGGGGGGGGGGCGGGCCTCCTCCCCCAGGAGGAATTAAATAATTTAAATATGAAGGCCTCGATTTAAATATGAATATTTAATTCGGGGCCTTCATATTTAAATTATTTAATTCCTCCTGCAAAAGGAGGCCCGGCCCCCCCCCCCCTCCCGGATTTAAATTATTTAAATTATTTAAATTATTTAATTCTCGGGCCCGATTTAAATAATTTAAATATGAAGGCCACGATTTAAATATGAATATTTAATTCGGGAGCTTCATATTTAAATTATTTAAATCGGGCCCGGGAATTAAATAATTTAAATGATTTAAATAATTTAAATAATTTAAATAATTTAAATAATTTAAATAATTTAAATCCTGGAGGGGGGGGGGCCGGGCCTCCTCCCGCAGGAGGAATTAAATAATTTAAATATGAAGGCCCCGAATTAAATATTCATATTTAATTCGGGGCCTTCATATTTAAATTATTTAGTTCCTCCTGCGGGAGGAGGATTTAAATAATTTAAATAATTTAAATTATTTAAATTATTTAAATTATTTAAGTTATTTAAATTATTTAATTCCCGGGCCCGATTTAAATAATTTAAATATGAAGCTCCCGAATTAAATATTCATATTTAAATCGTGGCCTTCATATTTAAATTATTTAAATCGGGCCCGGGAATTAAATAATTTAAATAATTTAAATAATTTAAATAATTTAAATAATTTAAATAATTTAAATCCTGGAGGGGGGGGGGCCGGGCTTCCTCCCGCAGGAGGAATTAAATAATTTAAATATGAAGGCCCCGAATTAAATATTAATATTTAATTCGGGGCCTTCATATTTAAATTATTTAATTCCTCCTGCGGGAGGAGGCCCGGCCCCCCCCCCCTCCAGGATTTAAAATATTTAAATTATTTAAATTATTTAAATTATTTAATTTATTTAAATTATTTAATTCCCGGGCCCGATTAAATAATTTAAATATGAAGGCCACGATTTAAATATGAATATTTAATTCGGGAGCTTCATATTTAAATTATTTAAATCGGGCCCGGGAATTAAATAATTTAAATAATTTAAATAATCTAAATAATTTAAATAGTTTAAATCCTGGAGGGGGGGGGGCCGGGCCTCCTCCCGCAGGAGGAATTAAATAATTTAAATATGAAGGCCCCGAATTAAATATTCATATTTAATTCGGGGCCTTCATATTTAAATTGTTTAATTCTTCCTGCGGGAGGAGGCCCGTCCCCCCCCCTCCAGGATTTAAATTATATAAATTATTTAATTCCCGGGCCCGAATTAAATAATTTAAACATGAAGCTCCCGAATTAAATATTCATATTTAAATCGTGGCCTTCATATTTAAATTATTTAAATCGGGCCCGGGAATTAAATAATTTAAATAATTTTAATAATTTAAATAATTTAAATAATTTAAATAATTTAAATAATTTAAATAATTTAAATAATTTAAATCCTGGAGGGGGGGGGGCCGGGCTTCCTCCCGCAGGAGGAATTAAATAATTTAAATATGAAGGCCCCGAATTAAATATTAATATTTAATTCGGGGCCTTCATATTTAAATTATTTAATTCCTCCTGCGGGAGGAGGCCCGCCCCCCCCCCCCTCCAGGATTTAAATTATTTAAATTATTTAAATTATTTAATTCCCGGGCCCGAATTAAATAATTTAAATATGAAGCTCCAGAATTAAATATTCATATTTAAATCGGGGCCTTCATATTTAATTCAGGCCTGGGACCCCCCCTAGGACCTAAAATAGGGTCTATTTGGAAGTTGGCTCTTGTAAATAAGTATACGTTTTGGGGCCTTTTTTCCTCTTGTGAACACGAGTGCCAGCTTCCAAATAAACCCTATTTAAGCTGCACCCCCCCCCCCCCCCCCCTCGGCTCCCCATACAAAGTTTAAGGATGATTAAACCTGATTCAGGTTATTTAAGGGGGGAACCTTGCGCGGATAGCATAGAGGGGGGCCTAAGCCCTAAACATCCCTGCCCGAAACATTAAACCCTAAACCCTAAACTCCAAACCCTAAGCTGCGGTGAAGGAACGGATCCCGCATCGCGGCTTTGAACTCCTTGACCGTGATGCCTGGCGCGGCTCGGGGGCTTAGAAGGGAGGGTTTAGGGCTTCGGGTTTCGGGTTTAGGGTTTGGGGTTTAGGGTTTCGGGTTTGGGGTTTTAGGCAGCGGGATTTACAGATCAGGTGTAGGTTTTGGCCTTGTTGGATCCTACAAAGGTGGCCCCCCCAAAAAAACAACTCAGTTTGCGCTAACCTTAACAGGAAATATACCTTCATTGGGGTTAGGCTTCGGGGTTTTGGGTTTAGGTTTAATTCAATGTTTCAATCGAGGCTGGAAGTCCGTTGGAACGATAAATTCGTACAGGAAGGGTGGCCCTGAACCCTAAACCTTAAACCCTTAACCCGAATTAAACCCGAAACCCTACACCCTAAATCCGAAACCCTAAATCCGAAACCCGAAAGCCTAAAAACCCGAAACTCGAAACCCTATAAACCCTAAACCCTTCGTGCTTGGGGAATGTTCTGGGAGCCCCGAGCCTCCGTCTTCGTTGCGGTCCAACTGCTGGAACAGTCTCCGCACGGCCCGGAAGTATTTCTGCTTCTCCTGCGGGGCGTTGTGGCTTTGGAATTTTCTTTACAGGTTTTCGAGTTCTCTTTTGTAGGGAAGTAGGGAATTAGGCAGAAATTAAGGTTTAGGGGTTTAGGGTTTCGGGTTTGGGCTGAACTATTCTTAGATTCCTGCGTCTTGTGTTGGGCGCTTGCGCATCTGGGTGTGGGCTCCTTCCCCCTAAAAATATTTTTTTACAACAGGGGGGGTTTGGGGGTGGGGATGGTCTGGGGTGGAACCCAAAACCCCAAGCCCTAAATAAACTCTCAACCAATAAGAGAAAGTATCCTGAACTCAACCGGGGGCTGGGTCCATATACGGGAACTGGGTATAGATGACCCAAGAAACATGAAGTCTCGGTACCATGAAGTGCTTGAGGAACCTAAAGGTCCAGAACCTGGGCTTGGGAACTTGGCTGGCCGACTCCTCTTGGCTGCATTCAGGAGGGTAGCTATAAATTAAACGTTTAGCTGCCTTAATAAGAAACCCAATAAACCCACAAAACGTAAGGATCTAAAGTTACAGTAAAGTACCACAAAGTCCTGTGCAACGTTCTGCAGGATAAGCTCGTGGTCTCTCTCGGCGCTCTCGATGGCGCTCTGACAGAACCTTGAAATCGCTCTGGGTGAGTGCTGCGCAGGCCTTTACATCCCTAAGGTTCCCTGGGTACCTACCCAGGGTTTAGGGTTTAGGGTTTAGGGTTTAGGGTTTACGGTTTAGGGTTTAGGGTTTAGGGTTTCGTGCTTTAGGCTTTAGGGTTCAGGGTGCGAGACTGGGGCACCATGTGGTATGCAGCTTGCCTGAACACGATTTCCCCCGCCCTCCAAAAGACCTCAACCTTGAAAACCCGATGAAGCATCCTAAAAGCCTAAACCCGAAGCCCTTAAGCCCGAAACCCGAAAAAAGCATGAAACATCCCAAACCCCTCAAAAAAGAGAGGCTTACGGAAGAAGGGCACGTAACGGGGCTTAGGGAATTTAGGCGGGTGCGGGTTAGTGTCAGGTGCATTGTGAAGCTTGGAGTACGCGAGCTTTGTACTGACTCTATCGCAAGTAAAGTGCCATCGCTGTGAGAGGAGCAGGCAGTAGTTAAGCAAATAGCAACTTAGAGGTTCATGGACTTGCGCGTTGGACTTGTGCATGGCCAGGGGCGAGTTCCATCCTAATTAGCCTAAACCCTCGACCCTCAACCCTCAACCCTAAACCCTGAAACCTAAACCCTAAACCCTAACCCTCAACCCTGAACCCTGAATCCCTAGAAGCTCAATACCCTTGTTGCCCCGCTTCGAAAGTTAGGGGGTCCCTTGCTCAGGGCCCTCCACAAGAAGGGATATAAGAATGTTGGGGTCACCATGGTCTGTGGCTTTGGTACGGTTTCTGCTGGTGGCTCGTGAAAAGCAGGTCTCGGGTTTTAGGTGTACCTAGAATATCCTTTTGGGAAGCAACGAGATGCACTTTAATAATTGGTATTTGCCCCTTCGCAAAACGGTGTATGGGTTACTCGAGGTACCATATACGACCTCATGGCGTCCTCCAGTCAGCAGAGGCCTGAACCTGACGCCCTACACCCTAAGCGCTAAACCAAATAGCCCTAGTCCCTAAACCCTAAACCCTGAACCCTAGATTCAGTAGAGCAGCACGCCCGTCATCACATTCAGCACCTCAGGAGCAGCTTTGAACGCTTGGACCCCAGACCCAGAAAGGGTCTCGGGTTGGGGGATTAGGGTTTACAACCTGTTTGGACATTTGACCGGAAGGAATCTCTTTCCTAACTTTTGACGATGCCCTAAACCCTGAACCCTAAACCCTAACCCCCCCCCCCCCAATCCGCAACCCACGGCTGACTGAAGCCAGCCTTTGCACACATCTTGAGACACCCTAAAGAGATCCTGGGAACCCTAAACCCTAAACCCGAAGCCCTCAACCCTAAACCCGACCCTAAACCCTAAACCCTAACCCGAAAGCATAAACTCGAAACCCTAAAACCCTAAACCCTGCTAGCCCACCCCGAAGCCAAAAACCACAAAAACCTCAAAAACGCCAAGCCACGGCGAAGAGACAGAATGCAATGTAGGCCTGCGGCGTGCTAGTGGCACTCATGGCGCAAGAATTCTGGGTTCAGGGTTTAGGGTTTAGGGCTAGGGTTTAGGGTTTAGGGCTTAGTTCAAGGTTTAGGGCTTAGGGTGCCCAGGACCTATTTCGGCCATGAGACTCCCAAAACCCTCAGTTCCTGTAATTAGTGATGCATATATACATGTATCGGTTTTTGCTTTGGGAAGGGGGGGAGAGTTGTAGGGTTTAGGGTTTCGGGATCCTGGTTCAATATCAAGTGGGATGCTTTGCGCACTGGAGGGTTGAAGGTCGCAAATAAACCCTAAACCCTACTTGGAGGGTCAGGGTACGTACGGGGGCTACAACAACTGCGCTTATAGTCAGGCTGAAAGCACCCTGAACCCTCCAAGTAACCCCTAACCGAGCCCTAAGCCCTAGCCCTAAGCCCTACACCCTAAACCCTAAACCCTAAACCCTAAACCCTAAACCCTAAACCCTCAACCCTAACCCCCTCGCTCGATGCCTCGAAGAGAAGTCGCCAGACGCCATCGACCTTTGGTTTGAGGAGAACGGGCTTACATCGCGCTTAGGGCCTCTTGGGGTTTAGGGTTCAGGGTTCAGGGTTCAGGGTTTAGGGTTTAGGGCTTGCATCCCCAAACCTGCTTTTCGTAGGTTGTGTTTAGAATAAAACTTGACAGGACCTGTAGCGAACGTACAAAAAGTAGGTTTTGGATTCTTAAGGTAGGGTTTAGGGTTGAGGGCGTATATAATGTTCTTCACCCTGCAACCACATGTTCGTGCTTCAGTCGTGGTTTAGGGTTTAGGGTTCGGGTTTAGGGATACCCTAAGCCCCAAAACTCCAATACCAAAACCCAAAGCACTTGCAACCCTAAACCCTAAACCCTAAACTTATAAACCCTAAACCCTAAACCCTAAACCCTAAACCCGCAACACCTTGAAGAACTTCAGGCCCTACGAGGTCATCCCGGCAGCCTCTGCGAGTGCATCGGTGGCCTCACTCCATGTCAAGCCACCTCAGGGGCGTTAAGAAGAATTTCAAGGTATAGGGTTAGGGTTTAAGGGTTAGGGGTTAGGGTTTAGGGTTTAGGGTTTAGGGTTTAGGGTTTAGGGTTTAGGGTTTAGGGTTTAGGGTTTTCACAAGGGTTTAAGGTTTAGGGTTTAGGGTTCAGACCTTCATCGATGAAGGGCTTCGGGTTTAGGTTTCTAGAATTTCGGGCTGAGGGGTTGAGCGAGTGCGGTCTACTGTGGGCTTTAGGCATTCCTCATTTATAGCTTAGGGTTCAAGATGTCCGTATCTCAGGCTTTCGGGTGTCGGGAGTTGAGGTGTTCCCAAAACCCTAAACCCTAAACCCTAAACTCTGAACCCCGGGGGTTGGGGCTTGTAGAGGTAATTAGTGGTTGACAGGTGCAGGGGATCCCGGGCTTTGGGTTGGCTTTGGGTTTCGCCAGGGGCATAAGGTTGATTCGGGCTTTCCAGGGTTCAAGGTTTAGGATGTAGGGTTTTGGGTTTAGGGCTTCGAGAGTTTGGGGCTTTCTGGGGGCGGTGGTGTTGCCAGTCAGCAGGCGCGGACCGGGCAGTGGGTGAAGGCAGGGAGCCTCCTCTACAGATCCTGACCCAGCACCCACAGGTGCTGATGGAGCTAGGTTGAGGCATTACGGGTGAAGGGTCATTCGCAGGGCTGAGGGGGTTCAAGGTAATGTGATCGTTCTTTCGTGTTTAGGGTTTAGGGTTTAGGGTTTAGGGTTTAGGCTTTAGGCTTTAGGCTTTAGGCTTTAGGTAGTCTAGTGAGTCTAGTGTCAAGGAAAATGAAGGGCTTACAGCTGTGGCAGGCTTGCGGGAGTGGCTATCAGGGATGCATGGCATAGTCAGAAATTCCTGAAAGTTCTAAACCTAAAACCCAAAACCCCAAACCCTAAACCCTACACTTTACTCTAAACCCGAAAGGGCTCCTAGCGATGTATGAACCCTAAACCCGAAACCCTGAACCCGAAACCCGAAAGCCCAAAGCAGGCTTCCCAGCTCCAAAATGGCCCTTAAACCCTAAACCCTAAACCCTAAACCCTAAACCCTAAACCCTAAACCCTAAACCCTAAACCCTAAACCCTAAACCCTGTTGCGCCTGTGATGGAGGCGTAGAGCGTGTGCATGGAGCGGTCTAGTGAGCCAAAGCGGAAGGCCAAATACCTGGAGAGTTTAGGGTTTAGGGTTTAGGGTTTAGGGTTTAGGGTTTAGGGTGTAGGGTTTAGGTTTAGGTGGTTGAAGGTTTAGGCGATTTGAAGTAGGGTTTATATTCCTTGTATATCCCCAAAAGGACACCAAGTATTTAAGCTCACCAACATTAAAAAGGAACCTTCCAAACGCTTACCAACAACTAATATAAACCCTGCTTCGTTTAGGTTTAGGTGGTTGAAGGTTTAGGGTGTTAGGGGTCTAGGGTTTTAGGGTTTAGGTGGTTTAGGGTTTAGGTTTAGGTGGTTGAAGGTTTAGGGTGTTAGGGGTCTAGGGTTCTAGGGTTTCGGTGGCTTAGGGTTTAGGGTATCGCTGATATAAGGCAGCCGAGACCACCTGAACACTGACCTGATTTAGCCCTGAGCCCCAAACCCTGAAACCCCACAAAAAAAAGCCTACTTCTTGGTGTAAGCTACTTGGAAGCCCTTTCGACTTTGTAAGTAGGGTTTAGGCCCAAGCGTGTAGGCAACTTTTCCGGCTGCGGTTTCTACAACAATGGCTAACCTTCGGGTCCCAAACCCTAAATTACTAAACCCTAAACCCTAAACCCTAAACCCTAAACCCTAAACCCTAAAATCCTAAACCCTAACCCTAAACCCCAAACCTTTCGGGTTTTGGAAGGAGGTTTGAGGTTTACAGATGGGGTTTTGGGGTTTCTCAGGCTAAAGCAGCTAGGCCAAGAAGCCCGACGTGCAACAATCCCTCCAAGCCTCCAAGCCCTAAACCCTAAACCCCAAACCCTAAACCCTGAAACCGTAAACCTTAAACCCTAAACCCCTAAACCCTAACCCAGAACCATAAACACCCTAAACCCTAAACCCTAAACTTAAACAATCAACCCGGAAACCTAAACCCTAAACCTTAAACCCCAAACCCTAAACCCTGAAACCCTAAAACCTAAGCCCTAAACCCTAACCCAGAACCATAAACACCCTAAACCCTAAACCCTAAACCCTAAACTCTAAACCCTAAACCCAAAACCCTAAACCCTAAACTGAACCCTGAAGCCCTAAACCCTAAACCCTAACCCAGAAGCATAAACACCCTAAACCCTAAACTTAAACTCTAAACCCTAAACCCCAAATCCGAAACCCTATTCTTAAACCCTGCACCCTGAAACCCTAGGCCCTGAAACCAAGCGGCGAGTTCGGCCGGTCTTCCGCTGGGATGCCCCCCATGTGCTCGGTGACGATGTCTGTAAAGATCAGGCTGAACCTGGGCTTAGGATTTAGGGTTTAGGGTTTTGGGCTTAGGGCTTAGGGCTTGGGGTTTAGAGGGTATGGGGTTTAGGGTTTAAGGCTCAGGAACCTGGGTGTGGACGACTACCCCGTCAGCATTTTGGTTTAGGGTTTAGGGTTCAGGGTTTAGGGTTTGGGGTTTAGGGTTTTCGGGTTTCGGGCTTCTAGTTTCTAGGGTTTTGGGCTTAGGCTTTAGCATAATCCCCAAAAAAGCCAATAAATCAGGTAAGCCAAGAACACGATCAGCCTCCCTAAGCCCTTAGCCACAAACTCCCATTACCGTGGAGACTTCAAGAAAGGTAAGTAGGAGGTAGGTAGGTAGGTAGGTAGGTAGGTAGTCCCCTCGCAGCATCAAGGGGTCAAGAAAAAGGGATCTTGGCAGCTGCTATAGGTCTCCCAAACCCTCCACACCCCAAGACCCCATACCCTAAACCCTAAGGTTTAGTGTCCGTAGGCTTTGGGACCCCTATAGGCCCAACAGAAACACCCTAAGCCGAGGGGCAGGAGCAAGCCCTAAACCCTAAACCCTAAACCCTAAACCCTAAGTAAACCCTAAACCCTAAACCCTAAACCCTAAACCCTAAACCCTAAATAAGCCGAGGGGCAGGAACATGATGAGAATCAGCAGCACTCCCGACCAGAGCATCGCTCGTAAGGTGCGACCGATGCAGTAGAGCAACGTCTTCCTGTTGCGCGCCAACAAAGGGTTTAGGGTTTAGGGTTTAGGGTTTAGGGTTTAGGGTTTAGGGTTTATGGTCGGGTTCAAGCGGTTCGGGGTTCGACGTGGAGGGTGTTCAGGCCAGGTTTTGGAGGGACCCTGGGGTCCGATAGGGTTTACCTTACCCCGACCCCTGGGAGGATGCCAAAAAAACAATTCCCCTTAAGGGCTCCTAAGAATGACCCAATAGTAGTATAGGGCAACTATTTGGGGGCTCCATTTTTTGGATCTGGGTAAGAACCCAACACCCACTTTTTTTGCAGGTTTCCTCGGAATCGTATAAGGGGCCCCATAGAACAACCTACAGGCCAGTGGGCTGCAGGTTCTTGAGGTAGGGCTTGGGGTTAAAGGTTTAGGGGTTAGGGTTCAGGGTTTTGGGGGTCTTGGCTTCTTACTTCAGCCTCCAATTCAGTACGCGTGGAGTACTTTGAATCCAAGTATACCCCTAAGCCCAGCACCATAGATCCCAAACCCCCAAATCCCCAAACTCCCAACCCCGAACCTCACGCCCCAAACCCCAAACCCTCAACCCTAAACCCTGAACCCTAAACCCTAAACCCTAAACCCTAAACCCTGAACCCTAAACCCCTAAACCACTCAAAAAGGAGCCGAGCCGCAGGGAGCGAATGAACTTCACCAGGCGCACGATCCGAATGGCCCTGGCCCACCACCAGCTTCTTCACTGAGGGTTTCGGGTTTAGGGCTTAAGGGGTTAAGGGTTTAGGGTTTAGGGTTTAGGGCCTAGGGGTTAAGGATTAAGGATTTAGGGTTTAGGGCTACATGGAGGCTCTTTTGACTTAGTAAGGTAGGGTTCGTAAGGTGGGTCATGGGGATGATGATCAAGGTTTCTAGAGCGCGAGGGGATGCCAAGTAGACGTACTGAGTCAAAAGAGCTTCTAAGCACACTTGGCCTCCCAGACGACGGGGAAAAGCACCCTAAAACGGTATCCCCAGAGGGTCCATTTGTAGTACTATTATGGAATTAGGTACCCCAAAACCTTTTTTAGAATGGTTTTTGGGTACCTAATTCCATAATAGTACTACAAATGGACCCTCTGGGATCCCTCTGGGTCAGGTTACCTGAGCAGATATTTTTTGGAGCCCCAGCAGGAGGAAGTGAGGTGAGGGCCAAGTGCACCCAATTTAGGCTCATGGACCCTTAGGGCTGTTGAAAGCCCAGTTGAGGCAGGGTTTAGGTTCAGGGTTCAGGGCTTAGGGCTTTTGTCTTCAATTCCTGGGTGCGGACCTGCGTCGGTGGTGGGAAATGATCCCGCAGCCAGGGCGGCATCCATATCACGTGCACATATGGAACGGCGATAAACAGCAAAACCACGGCGCAAGAACATGTATGTATACATATATGGTTTAGTTCTCCAAAATTAGGGTCCTTTTGGGGGTACCCTAAATAAGAAGGCGCCTCATAATGAGGACCCAAAAGGGACCCCAGTTCAACTAGAGAAATCAACATTTCTAAATAAATAAACAAATAATATATATATGCATGTTTTCATATCTTTTTACATAATACATATATATATATATATGTATGATGTGCATACATGTGAATGCAGCTAAACAAATAGAATAAAGTTGCTCACTGCAACTTCCCATCCCAGAGTTCGAATGCCCAAAGGCACCAAAGCCCAAATCCGAACCCCCTAAGATACTATTTTGCAAAAGAGTCCCCCCCCCCCCGCCCCCCGCCCCCAAAAAAGGTATACACACACACAAAAAAACATACATACCTACACACATATTCCCTTTATTGCCGTTGTAAAGAAGAACATTTTTTCGTTTTAAAATTTATCATTATTTTATTTTATTTTAATAATTATTATTATTATTTTTTTTTTTTTTTTGGGGGGGGGGGGGGGGTGGGGGGGCGGGGGGGCTTCTAATGCAAATAGAAGAAAGCCTGAGCCTCGAGATGGTCGGGATACTTCACTTCCAGACTCGCAGGTTGACCCTGACCCCTAAACCCTAAAGCCCCTAAAGCCTAAACCCCCTAATTAAACCCTAAACCCCAGACACTAAACCCAAAAACCCTAAATTCAAATCCTGAAACCTAAACCCCCAACAGGGGCTTCCGAGTGTTGGGTTTCCGGGTGTTCGGGGGCGAGCGAGCCTGGTGATCTTTGCCACTCGCAGGACTCTGACCAAGCGCATGGACGTGCTCACCTTGGAGAACATGGCCATGGAGCAGCCATAGGGTTCGTTTAGGGTTTAGGGTTTAGGGTTTAGGGTTTAGGGTTTAGGGTTTAGGGTTTAGAGTTTAGGGTTAAGTAAGGTTTAGGCTTTTGGGGTTCAGGGCTTAGGGTGATAGATCATGTGCATTGAGGGTTAGGGTTTTGGGTTGAAGGGTTCGGCTGATAGATCATGTGCATCAAGTAGTCTTGAAAGGCCATCTGGTATATGGGGATTGGGTTTTCGAGCGGGTTTGAGTTGTTTACCAGATCCCTAAGGCTTATGGGCAGTGGAGAGCTACCCCCTGGGAGGTCGGTACCTGGATGTGATCAGGATGCTGTCACACAGCTCATGAGCCTCCGCACTGTAGCCCGCACCCTGAGACGCCTTTTCGGGTTTAGGGCTTTTAGGGTTTTTAGGGTTTTAGGGTTTTAGGGCTTTAGGGTTTTAGGGCTTTAGGGCTTTAGGGCTTTAGGGTTCATGGCTGGACAACTTAATTGGACCAACCTGCAACCCTCAGCTCTGGAAAGCAAAGAGCTGCGGGAACTACTTCGGGCGAGCTGGCTGGCGCTACTTTTTTGTAGGCTCCCTGGGAAACCTATTCAAGGGTTTAGGGTTTAGGGTTTAGGGTTTAGGGTTTAGGGTATAGTCATAACCTACGAAAACGGAGGCTTGGGTTCTTGATGCCTCAAAGCTGCGTTGGCCTGCTGTGGCTCGCTGCCCGCCTGGTGCAAGAGCAGCCAGAAGTTTGAAAGGAACCCTAAACCCTAAACCCTAAACCCTAAACCCTGAACCTTTAACATATAACAAGTGTACCCTTTTTGGGAGGGAACCTAGAGCCATAAACATGCAAAAGGGTATCACTGGGCTACCAATATTAACGATATTTTAAAGTTTGGGCCTATATAGGAAAGGAGCACACCTTGCAGGGTTAGGGCTTAGGGTCTAAGACCATCCGGAAGCCCTTGCCAACCTCAAGCGTGGACTTTAACGCGGTGTTCTCTCGTTGTTCGATTCAAAAAAGGGGGGCCCTAAGATGTTCGACGGGATCGTACACATGACTCAGGGACTATCTATCTAATGCTCCAAGTTTGCACATGTTTCTGAAGTCTCGGAGGTGTGGTGCCCGAACCCGAAACCCTAAACCCCAGCCGAACGCAATCTAAAGTCCTCAAAGTCGACGAAGTTGAAGCCTAAACCCTAAACCCTAGAACGCTGAGCCGCCTGTATATGTGCATATCTGAGAGGGCTCAGGGTGGCGCCCAAATGACTCCCTTAATTACGGTCCCTGCCTGAGACCCCTTGAACCCAGGTCGTGTCACAACCCTCAACCCCATTGCCCTAAACCCTAAACCCTAAACCCTAAACCCTAAACCCTAAACCCTAAACCCTAAACCCTAAACCCTAAACCGTGGCTCTGCAGAGGTTTAGGCTTAGGGTAATTAGGGTTTGGTCCCTAAGATCTGCCTCAGAGCTCAATGTAGTTCCGTTTGGGTTCCGCTCTGGTTTGTCCATTCAGGATTCAAGTACACTGCAAAACAAGGAACTACGTGGGAGCTCTTCAGGTAAGCCCAAAAACACGGAACCGCAAACCCTGAACCCTAAGCACCCTAAACCCTAAACCCTAAACCCTAAACTCTAATAAACCCTAAACCCTAAACCCTAAACCCTAAACCCTAAACCCTAAACCCTAACCCCTAAACCCTAAACCCTAAACCCTAAACCCTAAACCCTCAACCCTAAACCCTAAACCCCAAGCGCCTCCGCCCGAAGCATCATCTCCAGGATGAACTCCATGAGGCTGGAGGCTACGACCACCACCTGATGGGTCTTAGCGGCTGTCATTTAGGGTTTAGGGTTTAGGGTTTAGGGTTTAGGGTTCAGGGTTTAGGGTTTAGGGTTTAGGGTTTAGGGTTTAGGGTTTAGGGTTTAGGGCTACTTGGAAGCCCTTTTGACTTAGTAGGTTATGGGGATCATGATGGCGTTTCTTCGGGATATTAAGTAGAGTTACTAAGTCAAAGAGCTTCCAAGAAAAGTGCTTAGGGTTGAGGGGTTAAACGCTGCTACCCATAGTACCGTGAACCCTAAACTTTCCAAACCTAAACACCGAAACCAATTGGTGGTGCGGGATATTGAGGCTTGCTGGGAGCCCTTTTAGATCAGGAGGCCTGAGGAGACTGCGAAGTATCATTAAAACGTCTGTAAGGCGCACTTTAGGTTGGGAGACGGATGAGCCCTAAACCCATGTATAGACCCCGTGAGCCCTCACCCGAAACGCTATAAACCCTAAACCCTACTTGCTGAGGTCTCGCAGACTCCGGCAATGAAAAACAGAGTCCTATTAGATCCTCAAAACTGTTCGAATTCAAGGCCTTTTGTGCCCTGCCCCTGGCTGAGGCGTTCTATGTGGAAGAGAGTCGGCCGCTGCGAAGCAAAACCGCTTTGGTGTGGCGCTTTGGGGTTTATATAGGTACCCCAAAACCCTAGTCAGCATGTTTCTTGGGTGATGGTAACATCGCACTGCCGGGAAATCACGGGTTGTTCATTCAAGAAAAGGCTAGGTGTTCTGCGACGACAGAAGCTTCTTCTCGCGCCCACGGCGCATGCTTCTTCACTTCAACGCTTCGTTGCCGTTCAGCACTCTGCTCTCTTCAACCTTCTTCTGCTCGTAATAAACACAGTGGTAACCCAGGTTTCCGGCGACTCTCCTTGAAGTACGTCACCGGGCTTCGCACGCCAGACTCTCCTTGAAGTACGTCACCGGGCTTCGCACGCCATCTCCCACATACTTAGCCATATTGTGCCATTTCAGCCCACAGCGCATCGTCGGGAGCTGAGCGTTCCGGAACCCTAAGCCCTACAAGCCCCCCGAAACCCCCAAACCGCCCTAAACCGCCCTAAACCGCCCTAAACCCCCTAAACCCCAGCCCTAAACCCTAAACCCCAAAACCCTAGACCCTGAGGCCAGCATTGACAGTGCCAAGGTGCATCGAGGAGGAGCCAAGCCCACTCGTCCTCCGAGATCACCGGCTCGAGGTTTAGGGGTTTAGGGGTTTAGGGGTTTAGGGGTTTAGGGGTTTAGGGGTTTAGGGGTTTAGGGGTTTAGGGGTTTAGGGGTTTAGGGGTTTAGGGGTTTAGGGGTTTAGGGGTTTAGGGCTTTAGGGATTTGGTGTTCAGGAGAATCCAGACTCGGAGTTCGAGGTGGGATTAGGACTTGGGTGTTGTAGGTGAAGGGTTGAACCCCAAAACCCTAAACCCTCAACCCTAAACACTGAACCCTAAACCCAAACCCCAAACCCTAAGTTTGGGGCTTGGCGGATGGGCTCCAGTTCTGAGGTGTTCTCAGAGTTTGGGGTGGAAGGCTTCAAGGACTTCAGGGTTCGAGGGCTTATAGGGTTTAGGGTTGAGGGTTTAGGGTTTATTGAAGTTATTCAAGGTTCAGGTCGGGGAGTTTCGAGGAATTTGTTTGGGTTTTTTGAATAATTTCAAGTTGCAGGGGCTTGAGGGTTTCGGGATTTGGGTTTAGGGTTTAGGGTTTTCGGGTTACGGTATCTGGGGTAGGGGGGGGAAATTAAGGAATGGGGTCGTTTAGGATTTAAGGAGCTTTGCGGGGTTTGGTTTGGGGTTTAGGGTTTTGGGGTTTTGGGGGAGTGAGAACAGGGCGCAACGCGCCGGGTTAAGGGCCAGAAGGTCTTCCGAAGCGCTGGCGCACCTGAAAGCCAGTTTTAGAGCTAGATAGCTAACCCTAAACCCTAAACCCTAAACCCTAAACCCATCAACCTCAAAAGATGGGTGCCTCCTTTGACCCCTAAGCCCGGCTTCTTGGATCTCCATTTAGGATTGAGGGTTTGGGGTGTACGGAGTAAGAGCTAGGGTTTAGGGTTAACTCCTGATCAGCGCAGGGTAGCCCTAAACCCTAAACCCTAAACCTTAAACCCCAAACCCCAAAAAGGGCCCTGAGTTCAGATGAGCCCCCCCTGATCTGAAACCACTCATGCGCCCCAAGCCGAAAAAACCCCCCAATACCCCTTGCTAAGGAAGAGTCCTTGACATGAAGCTTATGAAACATTCCACCACTTCGTCTTTGGGACCCTAAACCCTAAAAATCAAACCGCAAAACCTAAACCCTAAACCCTGAACCCTAAACCCTGAACCCTAAACCCTGAACCCTAAACCCTAAACCCGAAACCCCGGTCCTCAACGAGGATCCGGGGGCCCCCTGCCAGAAAGCGCATCGTCAACTCCACAGTGAAGAGAAGCCTGGGCTGAAGACGGTCTAGGGGGTTGGGGGCTTAAAAATTCGAATTTAGGGTCAACAGGGTTTGGGGTTTAGGATTTAGGGGTGTAGGGTTTAGGGTTTAGGGTTTGGGGGGTCAAAAGGGTTTGGGGTTTAGGGTTTAAGGGTGTAGGGTTTAGGGTTTAGGGATTGGGGTTTAGGGTTAAACGGGTTTAGGGTTTAAGGGTTTGGGGCTTAGGGTTATAAGGGGCTTAGGGTTATAAGGGTAGTGAAGAGAAGCCTGGGCTGAATACGGTCTGAGGTTTGGGGGTTTAGGGTTTGGGGTTTAGGGTTAGGGTTTGGGGTTTAGGGTTTGGGGTTTAGGGTTTGGGGTTTAGGGTCAAAAGGGTTTTGGGGTTTAGGGTTTAAGGGTGTAGGGTTTAGGGTTTAGGGGTTGGGGTTTAGGGTTAAAAGGGTTTAGGGGTTTAGGGTTTGGGGTTTAGGGTTTAAGGGTGTAGGGTTTAGGGGCTTATAGGGATTGGGGTTTAGGGTTAGGGTTTAGGGTTAGGGTTTGGGGTTTAGGGTTTGGGGTTTAGGGTTTGGGGTGTATAGGGTTAAGGGCCATAAGGGTTTGGGGTTTAGGGTCAAAGGTTTTGCGGGATTGGGTTTAGGGGTTGGGGTTTAGGGCTTTAAGGGAGTAGGGTTTAGGGTTTAGGATTTGGGGTTTGGGATTTCGCGTTCAGGGTTTGGGGTTTAGGGTTACAAGGGTGTAGGGTTTAGGGTTTAGGGTTTGGGGTTAGGGTTTGGGGTTTGGGGCCTATGGGTTAGGGTTTAGGGTTATAAGTTATAATTGAGGGTGTAGGGTTTAGGGTTTGTGGTTTAGGGTTTAGGGTTTGGGGTTTAGGCCTATAAGGGTGCAGGGTTTAGAGTTTAGGGTTTGGTGTTTGGGGTTACAAGGGTCAAGGGTTTAGGGTTTGGGTTTGGGGTTTGGGGCTTAAAGCTTAATTAAGGGTTTATGGCCATGAGTTGAGGAAGGTTTTTTTTGAAATTCTGGTCGCCTCAGGTCCCCATTCTGCTTCCGCCGCAGGTCAGCGGAGACTGCCGCGACGGACGCCGCGCGCCCGCGGCTGACTGTTTGCTGGATGAGGTGGTGGCGGGACTCCAATCTCTTGAGCACCAGGAGTGAGCGCGCGTAGCAAAGAAGCTCGCGCTTCAGGATAAGACTCATACTGCCTCTGCTCCGCACACACCAACACAGCTCATATCACACGAAGGAACTTCAGGAAAGCATACTCGCGCCCACGCAGCATAACTACAAGCGTAGAATCGCCCAGCAATACTGTTGAAGCATTGCTGTGCCATATCCCAACCTCTCCTACAATCACATACTGTACATGGCCACTGTCACTAAATGAGATGGAAAAGCCCGCCTAACCTCGCACGAGTCGCCCTGATGACTCTCCTATAACCACAGCTTAGAGAACTGAGGGGTTTGGGTTTCATACAGGGTTTGGCGAACTCCAGGGTTTAGGATTCTCGGGTTGGGACGCTTCCCCATACCTTATCCTAACCCTAAACCCTAAACCCTAAACCCTAAATAGGGATTGTAGTAGCCCCTATGATAATCCCTAGTAAGGATTGCTAGAAAAAGCAGGAACATCCCAAGTTTAGGGTCTTAGTGGTGTTATGTAGGAGGGGGGTTGGAGCTCCCCTAAACCCTAAGCCCTAAACCCTAATCGTTAAACCCTAAACCCTAAACCCTAAACCCTAAACCCTAAACCCTAAACCCTAAACCCCAAACCCTAAACCCTAAACCCTAAACCCCGCTCCCTGGGCTGAGGTGAGAAGCGTGTAGATGGAGGCGATTATGAAGACGGCCTCATCTGGCGAAGCACCTGCCGAAGCGAACGAACGAAACCCTCAGCCCAAACTCTCAACCGTATAAATGCTGCCGATACCCTAAGCCTTTTAGGGTTTAGGGTTTTGGGTTTAGGGTTAGGGGTTTAGGGTTTAGGGTTGAGGGTTTATAGGGTTTAGGGTTTAGAGCCCTTACCCCTTAAACCCTAAGCAGCGATGCTTTGCCTGGAGTAGGGCTTCAGGGTGGGATGTCCTTATACTAACAGTCCTTAATAAGGAATATAACAGGGGGTACGGTATTCCCGATTCAGGACTCTTAGTACCTTGGTAGCCCAGTAACCATCTTATAGTAAGGGCACCCTTTTTGGGGTTGGTTACTTTATAAGGGGACCTTGAACCCAAAAAAAGGGTAAAGGGTACCACTGGGCCACCAAGGTACCCTAAACCTAAACCCTAAGCCCTAAAACCTAGCCCTAAACCCTAAACCCTAAACCCTAAACCCTAAACCCTAAACCCTAAACCCTAAACCCTAAACCCTAAACCCTAAACCCTGATCATCCCAAGCTTCAGGTTTAAAGGGCTTCTCTGTGGGTTTCGCGGGGCTTGGGGCCGAGGGTCGACTGTGTTGGCTAGCTTCCGCCGAGTGCGCGCTGGACACACTCAATTTAGGGTTTAGGGTTTAGGGTTTAGGGTTTAGGGTTTAGGGCTTAGGGCTTAGGGTTTAGGGTTTAGGTTTAGGGTCTGCTTAAGAACGCACCCCCCCCCCCCCCCGCAGAAAAAGAAAGGTCTTCCTTATGAGCGTAATATAAGGAATGCTTTCTTCTTTGTTGGGGGGTCCTTAAGCAAATGGTAGATTTCTCACCGAAACCACCATTACCCTCCACACTGCCTCAAAGGGCTTTGGCTTTAGCGCCTATGCCCCGAACCCATTCACCAACACCCCTAAACCGCCAACACCTAAAACCTATATAGGCCCCTAACCCATGAAAGCTCCAAGTCCTCAGCACCTGAGCCAATAAACCTAAACATCTTATCCCGAAAGCCCTAAGCCTCTAAAGCCGATATAACCCCCCAAACCCTTAAAAAAGAAAAGGCCTGGATTGTCAGATGCCAGCTGAATCTGTGCTGCAATGAACACGGAGTTCGTGACGATGACGCAGCCGAAGAACGCTTCAAACCTGATGTGTGGCGAAATGCGTTTGGCTCAGGGTTGTTTAGGGTTTAGGGTTTAGGGTTTAGGGCTTAGGGTTTAGGGTTTAGGGTTTAGCATACCCTAAGGCCCTATGGACCCTGATTCAGGGTTTAAGGTATAGTTTGGACTTGAGGTTGAAGGGTTTAGGGTTTAGGGTTTAAGGTTTAGGGCCTTTAGGGTTTAGGGTTTAGGGTTTAGGGTTTAGGGTTTAGGGGTTTCGGGGCTTAGGGGAGTCTGAGGGTTGAGGGCGTAGGGTTGAATTCGCAAGGCACATCTCCCCTGGAAGCCAAAGGCCCGGAAGCTCTGAGCCCTAAAGAGGTTCAAGGCCCTAAAGGCTATAATATGGGGCTCGTAGTAATATTGGTATAACGGTTTTTATGATTGAATTCCCTGTGGCCCCTGTATATTCCTAATTTCTAAGGCCCCTATCTTACACTACACACCTCAAGGGCGGGGGTTAGGGTCTACTCGATGACTCTGATGAGTAGTTCTTGCTTGAGAATGCTTGATGGAATCACCGCGTCGGAACGCAGAAGACACTACAAATGGAGTGTTCAGATAGGTGTAGGGTCTAGGTTTTAGGGTTTAGGGTTTAGGGTTTAGGGTTTAGGGTCTTTTGGCTAGCGGCATTTGGAAGCATGGCGGGAATGATTTTAGCATTCAGGGTCTAGGGCCCTAAACCAACAAAAAAACAATGCACACTATGCCCAACACCGATCTGCATAATGACCCCCCCCTTCCCCCCAAAAAAACAAGAGAGAATAATTCCTATAATTATTGCCCTTATCAGGAAGAAGTTTTTTTTTTTTTTTTTGGGGGGGGGGTGTTCTTAAGCGAAGAGTAGATAACAGCTCCAGCCAGAGTGGCGCGACAGACTTCACGAACGGCCAGAGCCACTTCTGCCATTTGAAGAGGTATGCCGGTGGCGCCTGCGACAAGTCTAGAGGTTTAGGGTTTAGGGTTAGTTGGGGCTTGGGAAGGGGGCGGGGGCTGGCCGGGGCTTGTGCAGCGGTTAAGGGTGTAGGGTTTAGGGTTTAGGGGGTTTAGGGTTTAGGGTTTAGGGTTTAGGGTTTAGGGTTTAGGGTTTAGGGTTTAGGCATGTTTCGGGCCTAGGGGTGTTGGGTTGAGGGATCAGGGCCGAGGGAAGGTTGGAATAGCCATGGGCTCTGGATCTAAGCTACTTCATGGGCTCCTTTTTTGGGTGCCCTGCGCTGTCAGGAAAACATACGCCAGAGTTTCGACCTCCCTTCCCCCTCCCCCCAACGTTTAGGGTTGAGGGTTTAGGGTTTAAGGCTTCAACAAACTTCAAACCCTAAACCAAAAAACAAGCAAACCTTTTGCCCTAAAAACCCTAAATCCCAACAAATGAAAGCTGCAGCCCTAAACCCTAAACCCTGAACCCTAAACCCTAAACCCTAAATTCTAAACCCTAAACCCTAAACCCTAAACCCTAAACCCTAAACCCTAAACCCTAAACCCTAAACCCTAAACCCTAAACCCTAAACCCTAAACCCAACAAAAAAAAACCTTCAACCCTAAAACCGAATCCCTGATCTGAGCTCGAGCCCATGGTAAGGTCCTTAAGGGAGGTATAGGGTTCGTATAGGGTTCAGGGTTTAGGGTTTAGGGTTTAGGGTTTAGGGTTTAGGGTTTAGGGTTTAGGGTTTAGGGTTTAGGGTTTTGGGTTTTGGGTTTTGGGTTTAGGGTTTAGGGTTCTTAAGGGAGGGCGTGTTCGGGGGGGGGGGGGGGGGGGGGTGTTTTGGGTCCTAACATGATGGTTCCTTAAGGAGGGGGTGCGGGGGGGGGGGGGGGGGTGGGTTCATGGGGTAAGTTTAGGGTCTAGGGTTTAGGGTTCTAGGGTTAGGGTTTAGGGGTAGGGGGTTTAGGAGGTTTAGGGTTTAAGGGTTGTAGGGTTTAGGGTTTTGGGTTTAGGGTTCTTAAGGGAGGCGGTTCATCGGGCGGGGGGGGGGGGGGGGGGGGGGGGGGGGGGGTGTTTTTTTGGGGTCTATACATGATGGTGTCCTTAAGGGGGGGTTGGTGAGGGGGGGGGGGGGGGGGGGGGGGTTCATGGGGGGAGTTTTAGGGTCCAGGGTTCTAGGGTTTAGGGTTTAGGGGTAGGGGGGTTTAGGGTTTAGGGTTTAGGGTCTAGGGTCTAGGGTTTAGGGTTAGGGGGCTCATGGGAGGTACCTAGAAAAAACCTTGGGTTGCATAACCCCCTTGAAATGGGTTGCATAACCCCCTTGAACTCCCCTCCCTTCACATCTGACTCTATAACTATAGAGAGGGTCCACTTGTTGCAGGGAACTGAAAAACTACCGACTAGAAACGACTAAGAATACACATTCGAGTTGAAAGGGCCTCGTAAACACCCCTGAAACAGATATGCGCCAGACCCTAAACCCGAAAACCCAACAACCCAAACCCTAAAACCCAACAACCCTCAACACTGAACCCTAAACACTGTACCCTGAACCCTGAACCCTGCAAGACATGCTACCAGAGCACAACGCCGGTTTAGGGTTTAGGGTTTAGGGTTTAGGGTTAGGGGGTTTAGGGTTTAGGGTTTAGGGTTTAGGGTTTAGGGTTTAGGGTTTAGGGTTTAGGGTTTAGGGTTTAGGGCTCTTTCGCCACTACTACTTGGGCGACGTAAACGGTCAGGATGTCAAGGTTTGGGGTTTTGGGTTTAGGGCTCTAGGGTTTAGGGTTTAGGGTTTAGGGGCCTAAGCTTTTTGGGGTACCCTGAAACCCCCAAAAGAAAATCCGAAGCCCCCAAATTCTCAACAGAGCTGAAGGGCCTTGGCACTTTTGCCAAAAGGCTTCCCGTTGCAGCAGGCTTTGAGGTCGGCCATCATCCTCAGCTTTTTAGGGCTTTAGGGCCTTTAGGGCTTTAGGGTTTAGGGTTTAGGGTTTAGGGTTTAGGGTTTAGGGTTTAGGGTTTAGGGTTTAGGGTTTAGGGTTTAGGTTTTTGGGGGGTCGATTGCACTTTGCTCGGGTCATTGGTCTTGAGGGCTTTCTTTACAATCTGGCATGACGAAGGTGCAGCACGCAGCAGCATGTGACAGGAATTCTGACGTGCACTGTGTAGCTGAACGCTAAGCCCTCAGGAACCCGTGAGCAAGAAACATGAGAAAAGGGTTCAAGCTAAACCCAAACCCTAAACCCCAAACCTAAAACCCCAAACCCTAAACCCTAAACCCTAAACCCTAAACCCTATAACCCTAAACCCCAAGCGCGCTCGCTCTGGAGATAAGGATCTGCTGCCTTTGGCTTAGCATGGCGTCGCCCTCGCTGGTCGAAGCATAACCTGGATTCAAGGGATGAAGACTCGTTGAGGGTTCAGGGTTCAGGGTTTAGGGTTTAGGGTTTAGGGTTTAGGGTTTAGGGTTTAGGCTACTTGGAAGCCCTCTTGACCTAGTAAGTAGGGTTAGTAAGATGGGTTCGGGGGGGTTATAATCGGGCTTCTATGATATACTAAGTAGACTTACTTAGTCAAAAGAGCTTCTCAGTAAGGATGCACCCCTGCCAGGTTCCCTTAATAGACTCCGAATATGGCCCATGTGCTCCCTTCAGGACCTTTTTTACCCTAAACCCTAAACCCTAAACCCTAAACCCTAAACCCTAAACCCTAAACCCTAAACCCTAAACCCTAAACCCCCAAACCCAAGCTTACCACCTGAGGAGTCCGAGGTAGAGTCCCATGATGCAGAAGCCCTAGACCCTAAAGTGTTTGGCTCTTAGGATTTGGGGTTTCGGGTTTAGGGTTTAGGGCTTAGGGCGTAGGATTCCTTAAAGCAAAAATGAAAACATTCCTGCACTTAACAGCCCTGAACCCCAAAAAACCTGAAGCCTAAACCTTGCCAGTGTAAGGGGCCCCAAGGTGAGGCTCGTGGCTTCGAACTGGGGCAAAGCAAAGCCCCAAACGCCCTGAACCCTAAACCCCAAATCCTAAAAGCCCCCTAAACCCTAAACCCTAAACCCTAAACCCTAAACCCTAAACCCTAAACCCCCTCACTCGCTTCTAAACCCTCAACCCTAAACTGCCCTAAACACTAACCCTGAACCCTAAACCCCAAATCCGAAGTCTCTAAACCCTAAACCCCCCTTCCCCCCCCCCCCCCCCCCCCCCCCTCTCCCCCCCCCCCCCCCCCCCCAAAAAAAAAGAGAACCCTAAACCATAAACCCTAAACCCTAACCCCCTGCCCCCCCTCCCCTTAAAAGAGAGAGCTTGCCACCCGGGCTGCTTGGGCTCATCAGCGTGTCGAGGCTGGCATGGGTCCCTGCACATGAGGCAGGGCTTGGGGTTTAGGGTTTAGGGCTTAGGGTTTGGGGTTTAGGCTTTAGGGCTTAGGGTTTAGAAGTCGTGTTCTCGGTTTGGGGCTCTAGGTGTCGGAAGCCCAAGGAGGGTTTGTTGGGGTTTACAAGCGTTTTGAGGATTACAGGGGTTTACTACAGGATTAGGGTGGAGTTTTGGGTTTAGGGTTTAGGGTTTAGGGCTTTTGAGGATTACAGGGTTTACTACAGGATTAGGGTGTCGGGTTTTAGAGTTTAGGGTTTATAGGCTCTTATGACAAAGCATCCCCGACAGGATACCCGATGGGGGCATGAGTTCCTGCACACGAAGTCGAGCTCTCGGTTCGGGGGTTTATTTAGGGTTTAGGGTTCAGGGGTCAGGGTTTAGGGTTTCGGGAATGAGGGTTTAAGCTCTTATGACAAATGCTCATGCAATGCTGCAAATTACGAACACAGCCACAGAAAGATTCAAACATTGTGGAAAACCCCACTTTAAGGGAATCACACTCATATGATGAAACAAGAAGGTATCGCAGGAGACAGGTGCGCAGTAATGCCAGCATATGATGGGAGCTATGGAGTTTGGCGCTCCGTGTCGGCGTCGGTTGGCATGCCCCCCTTGTAGCAACAGCCGTTGCCTAAACCCTCAACCCTAAACCCCAAACCCCAAACCCTAAACCCTAAACCCTATACACTATACACCTTGAACCCTAAACTCAACAGGAGCGGGTGCCTTTTTTAGCGCATTGAGGGGGCTAGCTGGTGTGGCGGAGTTTCAGGGGGCAGAGGGTTGCAGAGCTCAGGCGCTATACCGTTCAGGTTTCACATGAGCCGTAATTACTGCGCATTGAGGGTTTCGGGTTTAGGGTTTAGGGTTTTAAGGTTTAGGGATGACCCAAACAGGATAGTTTAGGGTTCAGGGCTTAAAAAAAAATGCCTGGCTGGCATCCCAGCAAGGGCAGCACGGCTCTGTCACAGTCGCGGGCAACGTCCCTAAACCCTAAACCCTAAACCCTAAACCCTAAATCCTAAACCCTAAGCCCTGGGACAGAAAGAAGCTTGGCAAGCCAAACAAGTTGAAGGTAATCTTCGGGGCTCTTTGCCAAGGCAGATGCCAAAGAAAGACAACACTGTTCGGCTCTCCTTGCTGTTCCCCAACGTGTGCGAGTGTCTCGCGAGGAACTGTGCGGCCGATCCACCTTGCCCTGCCGCAGGCGGTCTCGTCGGGTCACGCTAAACCCTAAACCTTAAAACCCTAAACCCTAAACCCTAAACCCTAAACCCTAAACCCTCTCGGAGTGCAGCTCGCCGGCCAGGATCCGCGAAGCTAGCTGCAGGTTCTCTGAAAGGGATCTTTCCACTGGCTACCCCCGTCTGCAAACTGATTTTAGGGTTTAGGGTTTAGGGTTTAGGGTTTAGGGTTTAGGGTTTAGGGTTTAGGGTTTAGGGTTTAGGGTTTAGGGTACCCGCAGTGCATTTCTCTGGTCCTGCTCGCCCCACCCCCCACCCCCCCCCACCGCGCAGGTTTAGGGTTTAGGGTTTGAGGGTTTTAGGGTTTGGGTCGGGTTGTGCCACGAACCCTCAAAACACTTAAAGCCCCTAAAGCAGTTGAAACTTCAGACCCATGAGCCCCCTCTGAACCTTAAAACAAGCTCTCTCTGAACCAAAAAAAAACCCAAACCTCCGCACTCCCTAACCCCGAAACCCTTAACCCTAATCCCTGAAACCTACAATTTAGCCCCTAAACCCTAAACCCTAAACCCTAAACCCTAAACCCTAAACCCTAAACCCTAAACCCTAAACCCTAAACCCTAAACCCTAAACCCTAAACCCTAAGCCCTAAGCCCTAAGCCCTAAACCCTAAACCCTAAACCCTAAACCCTAAACCCTAACCCTAAACCCTAAACCCTAAACCCTTAAGCCCCTATGACACTAACCAGCCAAGGGGAGGCCTTGGGACCCCGCCGCCAAGTACTGCAAGGCATTGAAGGACTTCCTTGCTGTTTTCTCTGCGTGGGCTTGGGGCTTAGGGTTTGGGGTTTAAGGTTTAGGGTTTAGGGTTAGGGTTTCGGGTTTAGGGTTCAGGGGTTGGTGCTTATAGGAGGTTGTGGGCTTCAGGTTGTTCAAGTCAAAGTGGGCAGGGTTTAGAGGGCTGTCGGTGTGGGGTGTACCCCAAACCCTACACCCTGAACCCTAAACCCTAAACCCTAAATCCTAAACCCAAACCCCAAAACCCTAACCCCTGAAACTTTCGGCCGGGCCGCCGCGAAATGGAGCTTCGCTTGCCGGATGCCCCGGCCCTCAGTAGGAGCTGGTGTGATGCCAAAACCATACTACTAGTTGCTTAAGAACCCAGGGTTTAGGGTTTAGAGTTTAGGGTTTTGGGTTTAGGGTCCCCAAAAACAAATAATCCCTACATTACCCTTATAAGGAAGAATTGTACCATACTAGAAAGCCCTGACCCGGAACCCTCACCCACATAAACCCTGCACCCACACCCTAAGGTGGTACAAAACCTAAAGCCACACTCAGAGCCAAAGGCAACACCTACACCCAACTTCCTGAAATGCACACACCTCAAAATGATCCCGAAAAACCCGAACCCCGAAACCGAAACCCTGAACCCTGAACCCGAAACCCTGAACCCTAAACCCTAAACCCTAAACCCTGAACCCTAAACCCTAAACTCTGAAGCCTAAACCCTGAACCCTAAACCCGAACAATGAACCCTAAACTCTAAGCCCTAAACCCTAAACCCTGAACCCTGAACCCTAAACCCTAAACCAGACGCTGGGTTGCTTTGAACGCTTGAGGCAACTGGCGACCCTCAACTCAAAGCTCAATCTTCCTGGGGTTTAGGGTTTGGGGTTTAGGGTTTAGGGTTTAGGGTTTAGGGGTTAGGGCTTAGGGCTTAGGGAATAGGGTTTAGGGTTTAGGGCATATAGGGTTTAGGGTTTAGGGTTTTGGGTCCCCATAGCGTTTCGGGTTTAGGGTTTAAGTTTAAGGGTCCCCGCATGTGTCTTCGCCAGGTCGCTCTGGACCGTCCTGGAGAGTCTTCTGCACCGTCCTCCAGCATAGCGCAGGAGGGCTTTTTGGGGTTTTGGGTGTCTTTTTTTTCGGGTTGTGTTTGGCTTTGTTTTGGGTTTTGTTAGGGGTTTTGTTGGGTTTTGTTGGGGTTCTTGGGGTTTTTGGAGTTTTGGGGTGTTGGGGTTTTGGAGTTTTGGGCTTCTTGGCGCGGGTGCAGTTTGGGACTTCGGCCAATGACAGTAGGGTTTTGGGGTGTCTTGCAATTACGCAGTGGAGACGAAGACTAGACTAGAGTTTGATGGTTCCTACACCAGGCATTCAGCCAGTCGCTAAGTAAGCATGACTAGCGCCAAAAATCAGAGGCCTCCGACTGTTGTTGGCCACACGGGGCTCTTCTGGCTTAGGGTTTAGGGTAATTCGGATATTTCAGATGGGTTTCGGCGATGCGCCATGCTTGAAAGACGCCCGGGATTGCAACCAAGCCCGTACCACCCCCCATACCACCCTTGCGCTGCAAACCCCAAGCCCTAAACCCCTATATAATTCCTGAACCCCTACCTTCGTCTTTGTTACCCAAACCGTAAAACCCTAAACTCTAAACCCTAAACCCCTGAACCCCTAAACCCCTAACCCCTAAACCCCTAAACCCCTAAACCCCTAAACCCCTAAACCCCTAAACCCTAAACCCTAAACCCTAAACCCTAACCGCACAGCCTAAAACCTAAACCTCAAACCCCCACCGTAACCAATCATAAGCTTAATAGTCCGGGGCAGCCTGGGAGTTCGCGGGCGCTGGAACGACCCCAAACCCAAAGGGTTTCGGGTTTAGGGTTTAGGGTTTCGGGCTTATAGGGTCACAAAAACAACGGCGTCCTTTCGGACTGCATCGCCTCGGACCGATTCGCCTGCTTCCAAAAGCAGTTTGGACACGCGACCTGCTACTACCATGTCCCCTACTACCCCCCTGGGTTGCCCCCCCATGATAATTAAGGCTATTTAGGGAGAATTAAACCTAGTTAAGGTTATCTAAACGGGGGGACCTAAGTATAGTGTAGTGTGCCACTGCTCGCTTGCTACTTCTTGCTGCTGCAGCGACTACCGAGCATCTGCTCCGATGACTACTCCAAGAACAGCTACTACTGGATTTGTTGTCCATTTCAGTTTGCTTGAACAGTGAAACTTTACGTATTCTCAGACATGTGGAATGCTCAGCCCATTCTTGTGCCTTTCGAGATGTCATGGTCTCTGGCTCCATTTCCGGTCTCCGTGGTGACATGCTCAGGGCCTATAAAACCTGAACCCAAAATCCTAAACCCTAAACCATAGACCCTAAACTCAAAACCCTGAACCCCGACCCTAAACCCTGAACTCTGAACCCTCAATCCCTGTAAGCTTGCGAAGTGCGGAATCTGCTGGGCCAGACGAAGGCTTCGGCAACATGTGAGGGTGGGAGTTCGGAGCTCCCACACGGGGTTTACAGTCTGTCGGGATTAGAGTCTCTGGTGCCCCTGCCTGGCCCCTTCCAACCTAGCCACAGACAAAGCTTAAGTTCATCCACGACAATCAAAACCCTAAGCCTTCAACCCCTATAAACCCTCAACCCTTAAACCATGAACCCCTAAACCCCGTGAGCCCCTAAAACCTGGACCGTACACTCCCCAATACCCTTAAGAACTCAAACCTTACACTCTACACTCCAGCCGCCAAGCCCTAAACCCTAAACCCTCAACCTGAAACCCTAAACCCTACATAATCCCTAAGTCCTAAACCTTAAACCCTATAAACCCTACAACCCTTAAAACTCTAAACCCGCCTCCGACTTGAAGTTGTACATTGGAGCCGACTCCTTCGGAGAGCGCTTGCGGCTTGGGCTTGAGGGTTAGGGTTTAGGGTTTAGGGCTTAGGGTTTAGGGTTTAGGGTTTAGGGTTTGGGGTTTAGGGCTTAGGGCTTAGGGTTTAGGGTTTCGGGTTTAGGGTTTCGGGGTTAGGGTTTAGGGTTCAGGGTCCGCCGACCCTGGCGGCGTGTTGGATGGGTTTGAGGAGGTGAAAACCTGGTAGGGGGGGTCGGTGCACAATTTTTTCGTGGAGGACCGCGCCACCCGCACAGCGTAAACAGGCGGTTCAGCACAGGGGGTAGGGGCGCCCTCAGCAAAATCAGTGTTTTCGGCACCAACCCGGTGCTACCCCCTACCCCCCCCCAAACGTTTCACAGAACTCTGCCGAGCAGGCTGGGATGATCTTCGAACCATGCGAGCGGGTTTAGACCTCTCAACTATGCTCCAGCGGGGTCGGCGGCTTGAGCCGGAGGCTCTGAAAAATAGGGTTTAGGGTTTCGGGTTTGGGCTTTAGGGTTCAGGGTTTAGGGTCTAGGCGGGCATCAGGGTGACGGATTTTTTGGGGGGGTTTGGGGCTTCCGGTCCTAGGTTTCATGGGTGTTGGTCGCTCAAAATTCCCTCCCACCTTAAAGAATGCCCATAGACCTCAAAGGCTCAAGGATGTTTTATAATTCTTTTGGGGGGGGGGGGGGTAACCCTAAACCCTAAAACTCTAAAACCCTAAAACCCTAAGACCCCCAAACCCTAAAACCCTAAAACCCTAAAACACTAAAACCCTAAACTCCTAAAATCCTAATTCCTAAACCCTAAACCGAACCTAGACTCCCTCAACTTTCCGGCCCTCCGGAATTCTAAAGACTACCCTGGGGCGCCCTGTTGCATCCTAAACCCTAAACCCTAAACCCTAAACCCTAAACCCTAAAACCCTTGTTGCATCCTGAAGGAGCCCTTTAGACGCCCCATGGACCTCTGGGAAGCTTCAGGGGCCGACACCTGTCTTCACCTTTTCCTCGAACCCGGAACTTGGGATGTTCCTCCTTGCACTAACACCACTTAATAGGGATTATAATAGGGGGGGATACGAAAATCCCGATTGAGTAGAATCTGTATTAAGGACTGTGAGTATAAGGGCGACAATTGCAACCCGAAGCCCTCATCAGAGCCCCTTCCGGAAAAAAACCGCGATAAAAAAAAGGAAGCAAGAGTCGACGACCCTGCACTCTCAGCTTCTGAGTGCTTCATGGACCCTCGTTACAGAAAACTAGCCAACTATGGGCGTTTCCGAAAAAAGGGGGTTTTCCGAAAAAAGGGGGTTTCCGTTTGGGGGGGGGGGGGGGGGGGGGGGGGGGGGGGACTCTATTCTATTTTGGGTATACAAGGCGGCTCTTCAATTTTCGGGCTTCGGGTCGAGCATTAGCCGAAAAAGCCCAAAAGCTTAAGGTTTGACATTGCAGCACATATGCATATGCATGTTAAACATGCGTGCGTGTATGTAAAACATTATGAAAAATGTATATATATATATATATATTAATATATATTAATATATATATATATATATATGTGCATGTGTGTATGTACATGTACCTATGTAAAGGCACATTCAGGAACTTCGGCGTTGGGCCTGGCGCGCGGGCAGATGCAAAGCCCACGAGGCTCAGTCAATCAAGAAGGGTGTAGAGAAGTCGCTCGTCGAACGCACAGACTGGGGCATCGCTCCTCTCGCCACCGGCACGCAAGACATCACTCTTCTGATCTTGGGGCTGCGGATCCTCCCTCCTTGTCCTCGGGGTGCTGATGATGCACCGCTCTTGGCAGAAGTACTTCGCCGTCCAGGGCACGTCGAAGCCCGGGGCCAACTTCGTTTCCAAGGACAGCTTTCGATCCACCGGCTTGAACTTGCCGGGCGAGACCATCTGGAATTCCCAGTTCTCCGAGACTGTGCAATCGGTGTACGTGACCGTGGTGTCGGATCTCCCGTGGTACACATGCTCGCCATTGCACTTGCTCTCACAGCAGCGTCCCAAGCCCAAGGCACAGGGCATCTCGCTGTCGGCGGAGGCATTCGCCATGACACTGGTGCGAACGGCGATGCCACCCTGAACCCAGCACATCAACATAAGAATGCTGCCCTGCATGGCTCGATATCGCCTAAGCCAGAGAGCAGATCGGCGCGTTTGACCAAGAACAAAATAGCTCGAGCAGACATGTTCCATAGCCATTCGGTCTTGGGATGTCAAGGTGCCGGGCGTGGGGTTAGGTTGAGTTTTTTTCAGGGTTCAGGGTTTAGGGTTTTCAGGGTTCAGTGTGAAGGGTATGGGGTGGAGGGCTATGCAGAGGGTTGGAGGTTGGAGTTCATCGATGTTGAGGACGAGAGGCCGGGTTCTTGTCAACGAAACTAAAGACGAAGATCCCGACGGGTTCAGGGGTTTAGGATTTAGGGTCTCGGGCTTTGGGATAGATCTACCACAAAGAAGCACGGGCATGGAAACGGAATGTGAGACTCAAGCTCCTTCACAGGAACCAGGAAGACTAGGCAGGCGCTTGGGCTGAGTCTAGGGCTTCTGGTTTGGGGCTTCGAGTTCAGGGTTTAGGGTTTAGGGTTTAGGGCTTAGGGTTTAGGGTTTAGGGCCTGCAGGGCTTGCAGGGGGTTTGGGTTCTGGGCCTATGGGCGTAAAACGGGCGTGTTGTGATGTTCATGCTGGCTTCTGCTCCTGATACGGCTCGCCCCAGTCCCCAAGCGACGTCTGTTCGAAGTCCACCCACCCACCCTACCCCTCACACCCTAAATCCAAACCCTAAACCCTAAACCCTAAACCCTAGACCCTAAACCCTAAACCCTAAACCCTAAACCCTAAACCCTAAACCTTAAACCCTAAACCCTAAACCCTAAACCCTAAACCCTAAACCCTAAACCCTACACCCTCTCCTCGAGGCAGACTGTCTGGAGCCTGGATAGCCAGTCTTCCAGGAGCTCCAGAAGCTTCTGGTCACTCTCCTGCAACAGATCGCGGGCTTTAGGGTTTAGGGTTTAGGGGTTTAGGGGATTAGGGTTTAGGGTTTAGGGGTTAGGATTTAGGGGTTTAGGGTTTAGGGCATCCAAGCACGTTGTGTTGACACTCACTCACACCCACTCACACGCACGCACTAAACCCTATGCCCTACACCCTACCCTAAAAGCTATGCCCTACACCCTAAACCCCAAACCCTAAACCCTAAAGCCTAAACCCTAAACCCCAAGGCCTAAACCTTAAAGCTTGAGCTCAAATTCCCAGCCCAGGTCCTTCAACACCTCGGAGACGGAAACGGCCCGGCCCTCGTCTTGCAACGAAGTGAGGCTCGCCTGTTGCGGTTTAGGGTTTAGGGTTTAGGGTTTAGGGTTTAGGGTTTAGGGTTTAGGGTTTAGGGTTTAGGGTTTAGGGTTCGGGTTTGGGGTTTAGACCCGGCCCGCCCCACCCCCCCGCCCACCCACCCCCCTTACCCCCCCCACGCCCCCCCCCCCCCCCCCCACCCCACCCCACCCCACCCCACCACCCCCGCCCCCCCCCCCGCCCCCCCCCCAACAGGAACCGCAAACAAAATCACCAAACCCCAAACCTTAAACTTGTTCTCCTGCGGGGTCGGCGGCTTGAGCCGGAGGCTCTTAAATTTAGGGTTTAGGGTTTAGGGTTTAGGGTTTAGGGTTTAGGGTTTAGGGTTTAGGGTTTAGGGTTTAGGGTTTAGGGTTTAGGGTTTAAGGGTTAGGGGTTTAGGGTTTAGGGTTTAGGGTTTAGGGTTTAGGGTTTAGGGTTTAGGGTTTAGGGTTTAGGGTTTAGGGTTTAGGGTTTAGGGTTTAGGGAAATTTGGGGATTTAAGGCTGATGAATGACTTGGGAGTTAATTTTGTGCATTCAGGCTTTTGTTCTTGGCTACTGTGGGCACCTTGAGAGGTGGTGAAGGTTGGCTACAGTGGCTCCAGGTTTCAGCGACCTGGTGAAGGCTCACTTTTAGGCCGTAGGGTTTTGAACAGCAACAGTGCCTTTTTATGAGAACCCTTCTCCCCCACTTTTAGGGCTTCTAGGGTTTGAACAACACATGTGCCTTTAGGGTTTAGGGTTTAGGGCTGTAAGGGCTTCGGGGGCTCAGGGGGGTCACACGCACACACAATCAAGCTGCTCCAACTCCAGCATGCACACTTGGAGCCGAACGGCTGAATGCTTACCTTCTTCTAAGGCTCTTGGGACGCTTATTTTGGGGCTTTTCGGCCCCAAAAGCCTTGGTACATCATGTGTTTTACATATTTTAGGGCTTTTCGGCACAAAAAAGCCTGGAAATGTAGCCTTCTTACATCATATGTATTGAGTACTTTTTTGGGGGTCTGTTGAGCCTAAGGGTTAGAGTGCAGGGTGCTGGCTCGCGAAGCCAGCGTTATACTAGCGCCAAAGGGACATGCCCCGTGTCCCAGCTAATCTGGTTTTTTGATACCAGGGCTTCTGTGAGAACTCACATTGAGGGCCTTCGGGTGTTCAGGCCTAGGGTTTAGGGTTTAGGATTTAGGGTTTAGGGTTCAAGGTTTAGGGTTCAAGGTTTAGGGTTTAGGGTAAGCTTTGTAGGCTGCCTCAGATTTTTGAGTTTGTTACCCCGAACAGCAAAAACAGCTAAGCCCCTACTTGCAAAAGCCCCCTAAGACCCTAAAGCCCTAAGACCCTAAAACTGTAAAACCCCAAAAACCCAAAAACCCAAAAACCCAAAAACCCTAAAACCCTAAAACCCTAAAACCCTAAAACCCTAAAACCCTAAAACCCTAAAGCCCTAAAACCCCAAAGAAAACTGCCCATCTAATCTCCGGACCCCCCCCGCCCCGGTGCACCAAACCACATGCGGCACGCCTGGGGGTCCTTGAACCACGGGAGGCTGGTGTCCTGTCCCGCGGGTCTTTAGGGTTTAGGGTTTAGGGTTTAGGGTTTAGGGTTTAGGGTTTAGGGTTTAGGGTTTAGGGTCTTGAGGGGGTATCTCGGGCTTTGGGGTCTCAGGGTCTTATAGGGTTCAGTGGGTTTTTAGGGCTTCTTTAGGGTTTAGGGCTTTTTAGGGCTTCTTAGGGCTTTTTAGGGCTTTAGGGCTCGAGGGCGTATCTAGGGCTTCGGGGGTCTTAGGGTCTCAGGGACTTGGGGTTTCAGGGCTCCTGGGTATTAGGGTATTAGGGTTCAGGGTCCGAAGCCCTAAACCCTAAACCCTAAACCCTAAACCCTGAACCCGAAACCCTAAGGATTTTGGGGCTTTTAGGGTTCCACGGACCCCTAAACCCCTAAACCCCTAAACCCCTAAACCCTAAACCCCTACAGTTTCGGGTTCATGTCAGAAATTCCAAGAGCTGAGGGCTTTAAAGCACCTCAGCCGGCAGCCGGTCCAAATCCCAGCAAGGACCCTCGGGAAACCCTAAAACCCCCCGTTCAACTTTCTGAAACACACTGAGCCCTAAACCCCACCCCCTCCCAAAAAAACAAAATAAATAAAGTTTAGGGTTTAGGGTTTAGGGTTTGGGGTTTAGGGTTTAGGGTTTCGGGTTTAGGGTTTAGGGTTTAGGGCTTAGGGTTTGGGGTTTAGGGACACTTCGCCTTCTTCCGGCCATTCAGCGAGCCATTGAGGCTCTCCCCGAAGGCCGTCTTGTCCAGGAGTGCCTGGAGCTGACACTGGAGCTGTGCGGTAAGTAGGGTTTAGGGTTTAGGGTTTAGGGTTTAGGGTTTAGGGTTTAGGGTTTAGGGTTTAGGGTTTAGGGTTTAGGGTTTAGGGTTTAGGGTTCAGGGTTTAGGCGTTTAGGGTTTACATACCCGAAGGCTCTATCTCTTGTCAACTAAAGGCTCTTTAAGGCATTAGGGCCTTCCTACCTGAAGGATTTTGGGCTATTTTAAGCCTAAGGCCCTAGGGGCGCCTTGAACGGGTGAACGGGCGCCGGCGTTCTGGGGCATGGGTGTAGGGTTTAGGGTTTAGGGTTTAGGGTTTGGGGTTGGGGTTTAGGGTTTAGAGTTGAAGGGCAAGGCTCCAAGGGCTATTGTTCTAGTTGTTCTTGTTTGTTGGTGGGGGGGGGGGGGTGGGTTGAGGGGCTTTAGGAGCTTTGAGGAATTCCTTCTGAGGCTCCGTGTACTCTTATCTTGGGTTTTAGGAGTAACGGCCCTGCCCCATGAGGTTCTTGGGGCTGTTCTGAGCCTGAGGGTCACTGTTTTACGTGGGGGCTTAGGGTGTGGGGTTTAGGGTTACGTAGGGTGTTTAGGTATAGAGCTCAATTTGTACTTGCACCCTAGCAAGAATTTAGGCATAAAGACAGCAGACATGCAGGAGTCTGCAGTGGACGGCGCGCGAAACAAGACACGTCCCTCCCCCTCCCCCTCTTCCGAAGCTGAAGACTCCTCCTGCTCTGCAATATGGGGGGGGTTTCCCGAAATTAGGGGTACCTGACTTGGGCCCTTATGATCTAAGGTCTAATTAGGGGTCTCTTATTGTTCGTAAAACCCCACATTCTTCTGGGCATCGGCAGCGTCGGCGGCCGAGGCAGTGCTCGGGCCAAAATCCTTCACAAGGTCACTGAGCTCGGCCCCTGTCTCCATCGCAAGGTCTTCACGGCCGAGCACAGGCACTTGTAGGTAGTCCGCATGCACAGCCGAACCGGGCTGAACCATGTGCCCCTGTTCCTCCAAACTCTTCTGGTCGTAGACCAGAGAGAGTCGCTTGAACAGGACCTTGTTTCAAGCCACAGGCTTCTCAACAAGAAGCTCCTTGGCCCGGACTCGGCCACAAGCCCGTTCGGCTTAGTAAGTAGGGTTAGTAAGGTGGGTTACGGGGACCCTAAACCCTAAACCCTATACCCTAAACCCTAAACCCTAAATGCTTCAAGGGACTCTACCTTGAACCCAGGTGGCACCCTCGGGTTTAGGGACCCTTTAGAAAGTGTCTCTAAGGGAAGGTAAGGGCCACACCCGGAGTCTATTGAGGGAGGGTTGGGGGTTTAGGGTTTAGGGTTTAGGGTTTAGGGTTTAGGGTTTAGGGTTTAGGGTTCAGGGATTTAAGATTTAGGGTTTAGGGTTAAACAAAAAAGGCCATGTTGGGAGTATATTGAGGGAAACCTTAAGGGGTACAACCTTAGGGGTGCGAGCCTTCCGCAAGAAGGCCTAAAGACTCAAATGTTGTTGCCTTTGGGTTCCGAAAAGACCCAAACCCTAAGTCCTTGACTCGGCAAGGAGCCCCAAACACAAACCCTCAACTTGAAACTTACACTCTAAACCCTAACCCGTAAACCATAAACCGTAAACCCTAAACCCTAAACCCTAAACCCTACGATTCTCCATGGCCTGCAGTCGGTTCAGCCACTCCTCGAGGTGATCGAAAAGCTCCCGATCTCGTTGCCGGAACCAATCCTACGCGGATTGGTGTGGTTTTCGTTTTGGTTTTTTCTTGTTTAGGGTTTAGGGCTCATTTAGGCTTTAGGGTTTGGGGTTTGGGGCTTTGGGTTTGGGGTTTGGGGTTTGGGGTTGAGTGTGGGCACAAACCCGAAGCGCAAAAAAACAATCTGAGCCTAAACACCCATGAGCCAAATCTTGTCAGAAGTCTTTATACTGACCTGCTTGGAGTTTCAGGGCACTCACAACCCAACCCTAAACCCTAAACAGTAAACCGTAAACCCTGAACCCTGAACCTGATACCTTGGGATGTTGCCCCTTATTCTAACAGTGCTTAAGAGGGATTATAATCGGGGGGGGGGGGGGGGGTACCATAATCCCTGTTCAGGACTGTTTGTTATTGGGGGGGGGTTGGGGGGGGAACAACCCCAACTCATACCCTACAATTCTTGCCAAAGGTGTCCAGACACCCCACATAACCCGAAACCCTAAACCCTAAACCCTAGGCCGTAAACCCTAAACCCTAAACCCTAAACCCTAAACCCCCTAAACCCTAAACCCTAAACCCTATAAACCCTAAACCCTAACATAATTCTTGCCAAAGTTCGAGGAGGTCGGGCGCCGACTTCTGAGCTGTTCCATCGGGCACTGTGAGCTTCAGCGCCAGCATCGCGCGACCGCTGAGGCTTCAGGAGTCTCAAACTTAGACCTTAGTGAAGTTCATGAAGCTCTGTCTTTGTCGGTTTGCGTCTTCGAGGTTTGCCTAGACGAAGCCTGTACGCCAAGCTAGGGTACACATAATGTGTATAAGTTACAGGGTTTTTGCTCTTTGGGGTCCAGGGTTTACGGTACGTACTCTGGAAAAGGGTTATTTCGTGCTTAGGGTTTAGGTTTAGGGTTTCGGGCTCACGGTGCAGGGTTCAGGTTTAGGGCTTAGGGAGCAACATGTGGGTCTACTTCTCCTGGGGGCCTGCTAGCTCTTTGACAAGCTCCCTGTGATTGAGCCGAGCCATCGCGACAGCAACCAGACGGGCTCCCACCTGCCATCCCTTAAGTAGCGGGGTTACTTATGCGGAGGGTTTAGGGCTTATAGGGTTTCAGGATTAGGGATGAGGTTTAGGACGGTTCCGATATTCAAGGGCCCTAAACCCTCAAGACTAACCCTGAACCCTAGAGCCTCAGACCTCGCGGCTCCGAAATCAACATTTCAAGCGGTCATGTCTTCGCCTTGATATATCTTACCCTTGGGGGAAAACAGATTCTGCGGCAGCTGCACACGTGCATTCAAGTAGAGCCAACCCGCATGATGGCAATCATCTTGGGCACGACGCTCAAGAATGCCTACACTGGCAAAGCCCCCAAGGGTGCGACGGCAAACCTGTAGCATCAACTCCGCCCACCCACCGCCCCTCCCCCCCGAAAACCCGAAGCCCTAAACCCCAACCCCAAACCCCAAACCCCAAACCCTAAACCCCAAACCCTAAACCCTAAACCCCACCCATACCAGGCATTTCTGGGCATTTCTAGGAGGAGCGGCCTGCCGCAGCCACTTACCTCAAAACACACAACACTTCTGAAACCCAGACCCAAGCAGTAACCTAGGAATAACAAGGGTGCCTTGCTGATATATATATATATATGTATATAATAATAATACATCAATAAATAAATCAATAAATAAATAAATATAAATATACATATAATATGTAGTTTATCTAGTATTTTTTGCAGATACTTATCTATAGCAAATAGTGTTTTAATATACGTATAATGGAAGGGCTTCTACGGGAACCTCAACCCCCAAAAAAGGAATGTGTAAGGGACCCTGGATCCTAGAAACGCTTGAAGGGCCTAAGGGTCCATGCACCTGGTTGTTGCAAAACTTGGCCCTCAAAGTCCCTGTATAGCCAGTTCTTGAAGGCCCACCATTGAGCAGGGTTTAGGGTTTAGGGTTTAGGGTTTAGGGTTTAGGGTTTAGGGTCTAGGGTTTAGGGTTTAGGGTTGCCCTAAACCCTAAACCCGAAACCCTCAACCCCAAAGCCCCCCACCTCCTCCCCATCCTCCCGTGTCATCTCACCGCTCGGGGCTTGGCTTTTTCATCTGGGCCTGGCGGAGGGCTTGCTTCAGATCTTCTGGTTCAGGGCACCCTAAACCCTAAACCCTAAACACCCAAAATCATAAACCTTAAACACCGAAAATCCTAAACCCTAAAACACTAACCCCTTAACCCGCCCAAACACCCCACACCCTAAACCCTAAAGCCCTAATTAAACCCTCAACCCTGAACCCTAAATCCTATAGACCCGAAAACCCGAAATCCTAAACCCTTTCCTGACAAATGCCATTGTCGAACAAGGAGAAAGCCCTAAACCCTAAACCCTAAACCCTAAACCCTAAACCCTAAACCCTAAACCCTAAACCCTAAACCCTAAACCCTAAACGTGGCGTTTATTTGCTGCCCCAGATGGAGGCCAGGCTGGATGCTCTCGCGTTTCGGGTTTCGGGCCTTCTGTTCACCATCGCAGGCCTTAAATCAAACCTCCACCCCTGAACCCTAAACTCCCTAAACCCCTAAACCCCCTAACTCCTAAACCCTGAACCCCTAAGCCCTGAAATCCAACCCTTAACCCCTAAACCCTAAACCCTGAACCCCCACCCTAAACCCTTAAACCCTCAACCACAACCCCTAAACCCCTTAAACCCTGAACCCCTAAACCCCCAAACCCCGCAACCCCTCAACCCCAAAACCCTCAAGTTCCGGCCCTAAACCCTAAACCCTGAACCCTGAACCCTAAACCCTAAACCCTAAACCCTAAACCCCTAAACCCCTAAACCCCTAAACCCCTAAACCCTAAACCCTAAACCCGCCCCCGGCTCCCTATTGCCTTCGTGCAGGGCCCGCTCCAGCGCCATGCGCTCCTCGCGCACCTTACGGAGCCTTCGCAGTTCGCTTCGAAGAGTTCGGGGGGGGGGGGGGGGGGTGTAGGGTTTAGGGTTTAAGGTTTAGGGTTTAGGGTTTGGGGTTTGGGGTTTGGGGTTTAGGGCTTGCTGTTTGGGGTTTGGGGTTTGTGGTATATGGTTTAGGGCTTTGAGGGTTTAGGGTTAAGGGCTTAGGGTTTAGAAAAAACACGAAGCTGATGGCCCTAAGCGCAGAGAACACTGGCCCGGATCCAAACAATCGGTTGCTTTGCAGACGAGAGGTTTGGGCACCTTGAAGCCATTTCAATGCTACGAAGCCCCTTGACACAACCGGTGTTCTTGCTGGGAAGTGAGGGCGGCAGCCCTAAACCCGAAAAGGCAATGATTTGGGCGGTGGCCTGAGAAGGCTCACGGGGGGGGGGGGGGGGGGTGAACCCTAAACCCTCTAAATCCTCTTTAGAACCCCAAGTCCTAGACCCTAAACCCTATAAACCCTAAACCTAAACCGCGAAACCGACCAATATCCAAAATCCTCTATTCCCTTTACACCCCCGAAGTCCTGAATCCTATAAACCCTGCAAACCCATAAACTTTAAGCCCTCCAAACCCTAAACCCTAAACCCTCAACCCTCAACCCTCAACCCTAAACCCTAAACCCTGAATGCGTCCCAGGCCTCTGCTCCAGCTCAGCCACGGAGCCACCCTTGGCACTCCCCTGCTTGGGGTAGAGGTGTGCCTCGCAGGTTCAGGACCTTTTGGGCTTAGGGTTTAAGGCTTAGGGTTTAGGGTTTAAGGCTTAGGGTTTAGGGTCTAGGGTTTCGGGTTTGGGGTTTAGGGTTTCGGGCTTGGGGTAGAGGCGTGCCTCGCAGGTTCAGGAACTTAGGGTTTAGGGTTGAGAGAGTTTAGGGAGTTTAGGGAGTTTTCGAAGGTTCAGGAACTTAGGGTTTAGGGTTGAGAGAGTTAAGGGAGTTTAGGGAGTTTTCGAAGGTTCAGGAACTTAGGGTTTAGGGTTGAGAGAGTTTAGGGAGTTTAGGGAGTTTAGGGAGTCTTGGGAGTTTTGAAAGCTTAGGGTTCAGGGTTTAGGGAGTTTGAGGACTTTAGGGGTTACGGGGTTTGGGGTTTAAGGGCCTTTGCACTAAACTTACCCGGGGCTGGAGACTCGCCTGAACCCGAGAAGAGACTTCGCTCAGCCCGAAACGCCCTAAACCCTAACCCCCCTCTCAATCCCTAAGCGGACTTTGCTTGATAACAAACCCACAAAACCCTGAACAACAAACACCACTACACCGCTAAACCCTGGCGCACCGTGTCTATACCTGATTGTGCTAATAGGGTTTTTAGGGATCAGGACCTGTAAACGACGCAAACATTGGGCAGCCTACTTGCACCTTTGGCCGTGCAGCTTTCGTCAGCAAGTCAGCCCCTAAACCCCTAGACCCCTAAACCCTAAACCCCTAAACCCCCAAACCCTAGACCCCAAACCGCAAACCCTGAACCCCCAAACCCCCAAACCCCTACAACCCTAAGCCACTGAACCCTAGACCCTAAACCCTAAAGCCTAAACAAACCCCTGCCGTCGAGTCCTCCACGTACTTCTTCTGTGACGTCTGCGTTCGGATGGGTTCGAAGCCTTGTCAGTGATTCGGGTTTGGGGTTTGGGGCTTAGGGTTTAGGGTTTGGGGTTGGGGTTGGGGTGTACGGTTTGGGGTTTAGGGGTTTGAATAAGTTTAGGGTTTGGGGTTTGGAGGTTTGGGGTTTGGGGTTTGGGGGTTTGGGGGTTTGGGGGTTTGGGGGTTTGGGGGTTGGGGGTTTGGGGTTTGGGGTGTAGGGTTTAGGGGGCTTTTGGGGGTGGGTGGGGGTTGGGGCGCTGGGACTTTTGGGGCCTCTGATTAGGCGGCTCGTCCCTGACGAAGGCGGATGTCCTCACGCAGCACTCTACGGAGTTGCTCCTCTTCGTACAGCTTCTTCTTCTTCTTGAGCAGGTTTTTCGTGAGTCGTTGAGCTGCTTCTGCCTTTCGAGCAGCACTTCGTGAGTCTTTTGCTGTTGCGCTAGCAGCTCTGCGTCCAGCTGCTTCTGCGCTCTAGCAGGCTTTGGACAAAGAATAAGTCCAGAGAGGCACTGTGCGGTGTGGGTTTAGGAGGTCGGGTAGGGCTGCGACTAGAGCCCAGGGGTTCAGCCGGGGTTTTAGGGTTTAGGGTTTGGAATCAGGGCAGGATTTCTGCCTCTGCTAAATCATGAGAACCCTAACCCCGAAAGCCCTAAACCCACGACTGTAAAACCCTCTCACCCTAAGGCGCGACAACAGCCGACCCCCTCAACCAGTCAACCCACGCATCCCTGACCCTAAACCATAAACCCTAAACCCTGATTTAAAACCCTAAACCCTAAACCCTAAACCCTAAACCATCCCTCCTAGACCTAAAACCCCTATTCTGCCTCAAAGCCCTCGCCGTTTAGGGTTTTGGGTTTCGGGACGTCCAAGGGACACCCGCGCATGCACTCACCATGCATATACTCACCAAGAACAGCAAAATAACCCTAAACCCTAAACCCTGAACCCTAAACCCTAAACCCTGAACCCTAAACCCTAAACCCTAAGCCCTAAGCCCTAAACCCTAAACCCCATAAAGTCACCAGGGGCTTTTGGGGGGATTTCGACCCTTCGATGCCCAGGCGCCGCGGTTGGCCCAGAACTCCTTGCGGCCAGGGGGAGATGTTTAGGGGGTTTAGGGTTTAGGGCTAGGGTTTAG